TTAACATGCAATAAGCAAGAATCAGGTCAAAGTACAGCACATTGACTTGCAAAATGAGCATTTCCACGATACACCAATCAGCAATAATGGGTGAGAATCCTCTGCCACTCTCTCTTTCCTCGGCCCAGCCCCAAAATCATAACTCAAAGAAAGGCAAGTCCTTGCATGTTGCATATTTCAGACAGGTTTCAGAAACAATCAGAAGTGGTGAGACTGCCAAACCAAGCTGGATTTTGATGTGAAAGGAGAAATCTGAGAGCCTCCCTGCTTGCTTAATGCTGAAGAAAAACAAAGCTGTCGAACAAGCCACAGTGAGCGAAAATTCACTATCCACAAAAGTTGAAATTCTTATTACTTGTCTGTGCTCCAGTGGTTCCCCTCTTTGAAAGGGAGTGAGCTCATGCTGACCATGGATTTAGTGAACATTTTATACTGATCAGGGGGAAGGGGAAGTGCTCATGTAGCTGGTGACATCTGTAACCTTTCCTCCAACACATGGCTTGGCACATCTCCTCTAGCACATGGTCCATTATCTGACTTAAACATGTGTAGGAACTCCCAAGCCCGGTATAGATTGTTGCTTTTCTTATGTGATGTATATGCATCACACTAGCTGGCTTGTGGTTTGGAGACAAGGGTGATTATTTTTAATCACCAGTCTGTCCAATTGTGGGGAGTTACCCAAGCTGTATATTCTGCCCAAATGCAGGAAGTAATGGATAACCAAGACAATGCAAAAGAGCTGCAAAAAACCTGCCTTGGAGCTCTTCACCGGCTTTTCAGTTAAATGGCTAATAGTGCTACAGAAAGAAGGAACACCTGAATGAAATGGAGCAGGCAATATTTATGCAATCCTGTTACAGTGAGTGAATGCATCCACTGAAGTCTGGGTTCATTCGGCTTCCCACTACATACCTTTAGAGGAAATGTGCAAATTCAGATTAATCCCAAGCGTCCTGAAACAGTGTTGTATGGCTGTTCCAGAGCCTATTAAAAAGCACTCCCTTTTTCCAAGCCAAGTCTGAAGGAAAGCACAGCCAACATTTGCATGTCTACTACGACATGGCTCACACACTCTTCGTCACGCTCTGCAGAATAAAAGCTTAATACATAATTTATCTACTACACACTCTTGGAAAATAGTAATTACACTATACATGCATAAAAATCAGACAATGAATTTCAATGACCTGTTAAAGGCCACAAAACAAGTTGGTGACTAAGTCAAGATAACTGTGCTTCCTAGAGTGCAGGCCTCTGAATAATCCACTATCAAGGCATGCAACATGTTACTGAACTAATTTTGCCTAGTGAAAATAAGGAAAAAAAAAAAAATTTTAAAGAATACAGCTTATGAAACCATAGCAATTCAGCTCACATCTTCTGGTTTACTAATCAAGTTTATAAAACAAAAGATGCAGAAGGGTATGAACTGATCTTTTGTTATTCATACCGCTAATTTCATTGTAAACTGGGTATTGATCCTTCTAGCAACAGATGACATGGGCAGGCACATTAAGTACCAACAATTAAAATACAAATTTAGGTCCACACACAAATATGTACCAGTCTTGCTATTAGCACAGAACCTCACCACTTTTCAAACAGTGGTTCTCACAGGGCTCTAGGGGCTCTTCTTCCTAGATCTCAAAGAAGGTTGGGTTTTTTTTGGGGGGGGTTGTTTTTGTACACTGATAAAGACCATATATGAGCTAACTATTCATACCTTTTCAGTGAAAAAACCAAACAAGTAAACGAGTACAAGACAAAGTGTTCAAGCCCACTCTGGTAGAGAGATAAGCCAGAAGTAGCAGCTGTAAAATATGAATAATGATACTGACCACCATAGTACAACATTTAGTATTTCTTTATTGTAGCTTTTAAAAATATGTATCAGTGAGAATATAATTGCTGTTTAGAATAGGGAAGCACATAGAAAGAAATAATTTCATTGTCATGAATACAAAAAAAAAAATTAAGCCTAAGGGGCAGTGCTTGAGAGAGATGTTATTTGGAAAACGGAGCTAAGTTACTGCTATAGGATCATTAACATCAACGGGAAAATAATAAAAGGAAAACTAAACACTATAAATCTAAACTCCAACTCAGTATGACTTTGAGACCAGGAACAGGCTCCTAGATCACATCTTGTCTCTGTGGGTCTGTTTATAATCCAAGCACAAGCCACTCTGGGACTAGATTGCAACACATATATGGAGTCACATTCATGTAGATATAATGGACTTACAGCAAAACCAGGCAAATCTAAGTGTTTGTAGCATAGGTGAAGAACTTCATGTCACCAGTGTCACCCAAAGAGGATCCTCCAAATGCAAGCTGCAGAACCTTAAAGCTATGTACCAAAAGACTGTACCTTAACTCCTGAAACTGTAAATCAGTTTTATCTCCCAACAGTCAGAGATGAATTTAACCAAGCTACACATGGTGTAGTGGTTTAGCTTTTTAGTGCCTTAAATTTACTGAGATGTGGTGCTACTCTGCCCTTTCTTATGTTGTGTAAAATGGCAGTCTGCTTCTACGAAATTCTTATAACCACAGTGGCCTTTTCCTTTTTGGAACATGTAAGTCTGACTTTTTTTAAAAGGAATTTTGAACTCAAAGCAGGAAGAAATAAGCCATGGCTGTGTGTAAGCCTCACAGCATGCTGCCAACCAACATTTTCCCTTAAAGCTGTACAACAGCATTCAAAACACATCTACAGATGGCCCCTTCTGGAGATAAAACACCTAGCTAAGAAAACAGTGGTCACATTTCTCCCTAGGAGTAAGCAGGAATCTTGCTTTGCAAAGCTGCTGAGGGTGGCAGGTTTGGTTTTGTTTAACTAAAGCTCATTCCCTCTGTAGGCAGTGCACTTTACAGAGGGAAAATAAATAGGCTGGAAAAAACCCAGAAGTTTGCAGGGGGGAACCTGCAGGGAAGCAAGCTGCAATGTAAACAGGGAGGCAGAGCAGGGCCGGGGTCAGGAGGGCAGGGCTGGATCTGGCGGTGGGAGCACAGGTACTGCCCCTGCCCCGCTCCGGGGTGGAGGCAGGAAGAGGGGGCCAGGAGCCACTTTCCAAAAAGGAAATTTCACCCTGCCCAGGATTTCCAAACTGCAATAATTTTCCACGGGCCAATCAGGGAGGAGCGAGGCAAACGCACCAAATTAGGAAAGTAAATACTAGAAGGGGGAGCGGGAGGAGGAGAGTCCAGCTCATGCAACCACCTCCCAGAACAAGCGATGGGAGAGGGGTTTGGGCCCCACACTGAGCCCCCAACCAGCCCTCCCAGCCTTGCCCTTGGGGAGAGGACACTGTGCCAGCCTCACCCACCACTGAATCCACCAAAGATAGCCAAGACCTGCCCCGAAAGCCAGATTGCCAGAATCTTCCCCGAAGAGCGTTCCTTTTCTCAGTCGGAAACACCCAAATCACTTCCCAGAGTCTGGCCCCCAGGGTACGAGAGCTGCAAGACCCTGCCGGGGGAGAGGCAATGTTGAAGGGGCTGAGCAGCGATGTTTACAAATGTGTCAGCCCCTCCTCTGTAAGAGGAACTCGAAAACGAAAGGGGTTTGGCAAGTGAAACCTCAGATGTCTTTTGAGGTTTTCTGAAGACTTGGCTGGATTAGCTTCTGCTCAAGACAAACGGATGCAACAATTAATCATCCTTAGTAAACACACTGTTAGGGGCTGAGCACAATTCAACACTACTATTTCCACTTTCTCCTTATGCAAAAGAAACATTCTCAGGGAGTCAAATATCAGTTGCAGGCATATGCCAGAGTCAAAAGATACAGCCTCTGTTAGTAACACAAACCACACTGTGCTGCTTTGCGCAAGATGACTGAATGGAAACTAGCTACCATATGTTGGCAAAGAAACCATCCCCCTCCCCTCCCAGCAACAAGCTTCATCTAAAAAGAGAAGGTTAAATATAAACTCAAAGCAGTGCCTGAACAGAGGACTAAAACCACAGACACCTCCAGCCCCCTCTTTCTAGAATATCTGCACTGCACATCTGTGAAGCTCTGCAAGACTGGTGGAAAAACCCAAACAAGAAAGTGCCTCCACATCTATGCAAAACTAAACGGGTTTCATTGTGACACTGAAGTTGTTCTCAGACAAGTAAATTTGAATACTACTCACTGAATTAGTGCTGTCAGAAGATGTTTGTGTATGCATGTTTGCAAATGTAGACAAGAAAACAAATCAAAAGCTATTACCAGGTACACTCTTGCTATTCTGAGGCCTGCACGTTTTAAAACTCTAATACATCATTCTATATCCTGAGTGTACTTTATAAAAGTTTATTATACTTCAAGTAACAGCTTTAATGTTAAAAAAAGATTATACAGCAACTCCATAATATCAACTCTTTGCTGAGAAAGAAAATATTCCAGGCAGTAGCTTGATGCACAGGTTATTTCTACCGCACATTAATGAATCAGATAATTTACAAAACAGGATACTTGCACAGATGTACATTCAGATTGCTACAGCCCCTCAGTACATGGCCAGCATCCTACCCCCATTTCCTTCTATTCCCAGGAAACCACGTGCCAATGGCCACCCTTGTCCCTAACTTCAGATAACACTGGCACCACCCAGCAACAACAGAATATTGAGATAAAAATAAAACAGGCAGTCCTAACATAGAAAGGATTTGCCTGCTTTCTTTTCTCCATACATATAGGTAGCTCTTTATAGATATTTCTAATTCCACTGCCAAAGATAGACTAGTAACTCTATAGTGTGAAACTAACACTCACGTTCCCCCCTGAACCCTTTAAGCTCTTAAACAAAACCCTTGTGCCCTACTTCCAGCCACCAGAACATAGTTTTTAGCAGTCTTTCATAATTCTGAACATCAGATATTTAACTAGTCATTTTTAATGGGGCATTTCACACAGCAAGTATACCAAACAAAGCAGGGCTGACAGACTTGTGTCCAAGAACAGATGGGGTTTCCCGAAATCACCCTATGGATAGTTAACATCTTACCTGATAGTGCCTGTGGGGGATGGGAGGGGACTGACCACGCTCCGGAGATCCGGCTCCGGGATGTGGATCTTCAGAGGCGATATTTGAGGGTAAAGTGGCCGAAGGGGAGGCGATGAGGCTTCCTCTTTTACTTCCTCTTTATGGTATAAAGATGTGAACTGGATCTTTATAACCGTGCTAGGGAATCGGAAAGTACATCTGAGGGGAAAAAAAAAAAAAAAAAAAGGGTAAAATCAGTTTCACACATGATACTAAACATATTTAAGTGGTTTTGTATGCAATTGGTCATCATTATTTCATTCACAGCACAGAAGTCCACCATTCTCCGTAGCATAATTCTGCCAGTGTCTGGGGCAGAATTACTGATCATTCATAGATCTCTGTAAATGTATCAGTGTGTCATGTATCACTGAGTGATTAGATGCAAGCTGAAGGCTTGGGTAAGTGAAGTGATTTCCCCAAGGCCATGTATTCCATCAATGACTAAGTACGTTGCAGCACTGTAACGACTGCTATATCAAGGACTAGGATTTATCTTTTATTAGCTCCTTGCAGGTAACTCGGGAAGATACAAGATACTAGAAAGTATCAAACCACAAGCAACACGGAGCAAGAGAGCCATAAAATCCAGAGCAACAAACAGCCTCCAGGTAAGACCAGACAGCACTATTTAAAGACTGGCCTCTACAAACTGTAAATTAATACTCATTGATATCTGCACATGATGCTAAGGGATCATCTGGCAGGTTCAGATTAAAATACATTCATATAAAAGTGCCTGCCTTTAGATAACATGGGTTATAGCTAGCAGGATCAGAACATCAAGCCTATAGTACCTCATTTCTTCTCAAAATAACACTTCTTTCCAACTGTTATTTATGGAAAAAAAAAAATAAAAATCACACACCTACAAGTATAGCCTTTAGGAGATGTTGGGAAATTCAAAAGGAAATAGGCACTGACATTTTCCATATTTGAACAGAAAGCTTTCTAATTTATAGTGTCTACAACAGGCACAGGGCTGTAAGAGCAAGTGTTCTGCAATTCTTCCGTATTGCACTTTAATTAGACAATAATGTGCAATCAATACAAGCTTTCCAGGGATCATTTCACTGATACTAAGGTTAAAGCAGCAGGAAATAAAAACCAGGTTTCACCGTGGGAAAGGCCAACAGAGCACAGTAATTGTGTTGGCTTCCAGCATCTTGCCTATAGAAGGAAATGAAGGAACTCGAGCAGTGTTGTTCTACCACTGTAAGTGTTGGCGGGGGCTGAACATAATTCTTCTAAGCAGTGCATTACTGAATCCTGCCAGGTAACAGAACAAGGTGGCAAGCAACTAAATCCGTATTTGTGACCACCTTATCTTAATGCTGCTATTGACAAAAATGCAGAGAAACAACCTATTACAGTTCTAAAAACATACTCTCTTGCTCTTGGTTCTTTTGCACAAGCTAGTTCTGATGTAATGTTCAGAAACCTGCCATGAAGAGTGCAAAATTATCATTCAGACATGGGAAGCTCATTCCCATCTCCCACCTCATCTCAGAGCTGGCTCAGCATTCAGCAGCTTGGACTCACAATGGCTCCGCTACGTACCGCAGGAGTTTGCATTGCATTTTATTCACTTCAGAGGTCCTGCCACCTGCACTCATTAATGCATTAAATAAGAACATCATTGCTGGCAATACAGCCTAATTGTGTTTATCTAACCCTTCTAAAACACAGTTCCCTGCAGACTCAATACAAACGCACAATTCAAATCGGCAGCCTGTCCGTGCCTTGTAATGTCTGCCAGCAGCAGGCACACAGCCTACTGAGATGAACCTGAAACAAGGCTGTTGAACCCCTACTCCGGATTTTAAGCCTCTGCAGTGCTACATCGATTTGCTTGTAGAAAAAAAGCAGAGAATACATAAAACTGCAATGAACATCACATGGACTGAGCCTCCATACCAGTATGAGCAAAGCTTCATCATTTCTCAAGCCCTTACCAGGGAAAAGCCCAGCTTGCTTTCACAGAGCAATGGAATTCTCTGCTGTCACTCCAGGTGCTCAGCATTTTTCAACATCTGAGTCAAGAACAAATCAGGCCTTGTTTAACAGTGTTCAGTGCAATCCCAACCGGCTGCTGATCTCACCAGGCCTGACTGCAGAGCCCTAAGGCAGTTCTGCAGCAGAGGACAGAAGACCCCGACTGCAGCTTCATACCTATAAGGAGCTCTATCCCACTGCCATTTAAGTCTTCCTTTTCAGAAGGACCCAGTAATGCAAGACCCACATCTCCTACACACTACTGCTTCCAGGCGATGGTGCAACTAACTCCTCAACTCCACTATACTTACTGATGCTGTAACAATGTTAGATAAGAAGGCGATACCTGCACCCAAAACACTGTGAGGCACTCCCATCAATCTGCCAGTATGGGCAATCTTAAACTCCGTGACTCTTGCAAAATCATGAGTCAACCTGAAATGGGAAATCTAAACTAACCCAGTAAACATGTGTTGAAAAGGCCTATCTAACATTGCTTTTCCTTGAGAGCTCCCCAAAGCTATCTAATTCAGCCACGTGATTTACCCGCAATCTCAGACTGGAACAAGGGAAGAGAAACACAGAAGCTGGGCTGACTACACAAGCAAACAATTTGTTGGCTGCTGTGATTTGTTTTTAGAAAGACAGGCTTCCCAATCCACTGAAGCAGAACCTAGGACACAAAACTAGCTTTCACATATTATGCTATCCAGCACGTACATGGCCATTTTGTAAGGAGCCAGCCCCAGAAAAAGAGTGGATATATGCAAGGGTGCTCACAGCTTTAGAAGGCTTCTGCAGCCCAGTCTGTACTGGCTTCCAGTATTGACACTGCCTGCAAAGCCAAGGTGGGGGTAATTTATCTGAATTTATGCTTTTACTGCTGTAAAAACCTGGGACTCAAGAAATGGAAATGCAATGCAAAATAGATTGTAAATTCCTGCAGAACTCCTCCCCTCCCTCAGGGGTGAGAAGGTGCCTGAGATTAACATTATTGTTCCAGTCTCTATCACAGCCACCACAGTAATGCAAACAATGCCAACAGCACAGCCCAAGTCACTGCTTCAGATCAGCATGCACACACTAATACTGGGGCACTGTGTCAATGAGAAATCAGAAAAGTGTGATTTCTGAATCATCTTCTCACAGGAAGCTCATTTTTCATTACACTGAACCTGAACACAGTTTTAATGAGCTTTTCTAATTGTTCCCTTAACCACTTTCTGACCAAAAGAGGATAAATTCAAATTATATCAGGTAGTCCTATTTAGGAATGAAGCACATTAACATAGGATTTAAGCCTATGAGAATTATACTTCTATAGAAGATAAGCAGGACAAGACAGACAGCCCAAGCAGAACAGAGCATGCATTCCTTAAGATTACTGTACGTATTCCAAGTTAAACTGAGTTATACTATTTCATTCATGTTGCATGATTCCTATCAAAGATGCATACCAATTACTACTACTGCTTAACATTTCCACCATGAGAAAAAGAACAATCTGAAAGCATAGATTAGACTCAACATAAAAAGCATAATGAAGTTAACTGGTATTTTCAAGGGTGCCCAAGAGGCAACTCTTTTAAGCACCTTTGAAATTAGAGGGGTAAATTAATGGTCTGCAAAATCTTTGTCTTGGTACAGGCAGGAAACAACCTGCTACAGTTCTAGAACTGCTGAGTTTTATTCAATAACCTGTTACAGACATCCTGCAATCCCTGGCCACATAAACCATATATGTTGCATTCATACAGAGTTACAGTATGTTGCATACATGAATTCCTTGTGGGAAAGGATTCCCATTTCTCTAGGTTGCCTTACAAGACAGTAGAATCGAAAGCTTTTTTAGTTTGTGGTAAAACAAAAAATGCACACACTCCCCAGCCTCCATAAACTGCACAGAAACAATTCTTGTCTTATTAGTTTACAAGCAGGAGAAAGTAAAAGAAAATGGATTGCTGGCTCCCTGCTGCATGCTTGAGTTCACAGACTCCATTGCAGTAGCTGAATGCATGCTATATATACATTGGCGACCAAGGGGAAAGGAGTGCACATGCCACACATGGTTACAGTGATACAAAAGATGTTTAAAACAAACGAAGTCCTAGCAACAAAACAGATTTTCCAAAAGTTTCCTGGACAAGCTCCTCACACTGACGACACAGCACCCATGCTATTAGGCATCTTTTATGTGGTGAACCAGTGACGGTAACCACAAGCATTTATTCTACATAAGGCCTGAAAATAAAGTGCTAGGAAACACTAGTCTTCACATAAACAGTCATCCTGAAAGCAGAATTCAGGAAAAAATGGTTAGGTAAAAAAGCCCAATAAAATTATTCTATATCCTGCACGACTCCATAAAAAGCAGACATTCTCTCCCTCCTCAAAGCACCTTTTACTCACAGATGCAAGGTAAATGGAGATGCATTTGCCAAAACATAGTACTGGGTTCAATAGAAGCTATTACAGTCACCGATTTCTTTGTTAGAGCACCCTGAGTGCTGTTCAACACCAAGTGACTTCTACTACATAAGAGCAAGAAAAGGCTATTTAAAGATTTTAAAAGAAGACAGAAAACTGTGCTGGATTTATGTTTTACATTTACACTGTGGAAAAGCACAGTGACAAAACAGAGAAGGCAAAGCATGAAAAAGCTGAGGTGAAACATATATAAAATATATATACACACATTTTTGTATCTATAAAACCTGGAATTATATTTTTATATATTATGTAATATATATGAACATAATATATAATATCATGTTATGTTATATATAAACATAATTCCAGTTTATTATGCAAAAGGAAATAACCAGAAAAGTAAGCTGGAAGACTGTTACACATGCATTGTCATCAGCAAGTCAGTACCATCTTTGTCTACTTTATCTTGCCGTAATTTATGAAATCCTGTTATTCCTGAATGTTGTAGTTATAAATGCACCAGTAGCATCTGTGTTACATACAGTGCGTAGATGAAGGTCAAGTGAGAAACATTCTAGAAAGTGCTTTGTAAAAGTTAACTCTTTTCTCAATTTGAATCAGAACAGTAACACAGACCTGAGGTTTCATTCAAAAATGTAGCTGAGCATGACTGCCTCCCTTTCCTGCAACTGCCACTTTTTCTTTTTAAACTTGCAGATACTGTTAACATACCACCAACTCTCAGTATCTAAATCTTTCCCTCTGCCACATGTTTCTGACTTTCCTTCTGCCATC